AGTATTGAGTAGCTTAAAACTGAATCATTTGACCCTGAAAATAAAAAATAGTAGATTGTCAGTCAGAATTTATGCATGTTTCATTTTTATTTGAATATTTTCCAGATGTATTGGTATTTACCTTTCTCTTCTTGTCACCTCCCAATTCGAAGTGCTTGCATCTCTTCAATGGAATTTGCTTTCTATATTTGCATTCCGTGCACTCCATCCTTAGTACAATTTTCTTTGTTGTTTTTGCCTAAGATAATGTAAGAAAATACATTTAGTAAAAATTGATATATTACTGTTATTGTTATGAACTAAATTATAGTAATATTCTTGAAAAACATTATAATGAACTAAAGAGTCTGTTTTTTGTTACTGTACTGGACAGATTGCATTAACATTTCCTTTCATACTTTTGTCAATTTTAAATACTTGTATTTACTTAATAATTAAAAATATGAATATACAACTGGTTTAGCAAAAAGAACAGACATAATGTATACATCTGAATTCGCATAAAAGACGTAATAATAACTTTATTCGTTTTGTTATATCATTAAATAAATATAATTTATCATTGCTATCGGATTTATTTGCTAAACTTGTCATCACGCACTTACTTTTTTCCTGAAGATAGGCTTTGTTTGACCACCAAACCCTTGCTGTTTGCGGTCATAACGTCTTCTGCCCTGCGAGGCATGTCTCTCCTTACTCTTCTTGTACTGCGTCACTTTATGATTCTTGTGTACCTTGCATTTTTTGCAAAAAGTACGCCTTTGCTTCGGCACGTTAACCTATAAAGAATCATGTAAAATTCCAAGACTTTATACATTATTCTGTAGAATGACGAAGTAATCAATCTTCGAGGTATCGATCTGGTTTCTAATCCTTATAAATAATTCGAGTAAATATACGCTACGCATCATCGCGTTCAGTAAAAACATTACATACTATACAATTCCGAATAAGTAGGTTATGTCTCCTCACATCGAATTATTGCACTGTGTAGTAACAGATATTCACATCAAATTGCGGTAAATATAATTAGAATTGTAAACGCTATTTCGTGAAGTGAAAGATTCTAAAGATTTCTAAAATATTCACGGATAAAAACAAGCGAAAATCACGTATCAACCTACCATCTTGTCACGTATCGAAAGAAAAGGGAGATTTAGTTCGACCGGAAATCGTGGCGCTTATAGTAAGTATAGCAGCCACATAGCGCGCCACTGAGCATGCGCTTTGTCCTCATTGCGTTGCAATAAATTCCGAAACCTTGAGTATATTTTTTGCGTTGCATATACATAATTATTAATAATACGACCGATGCTACAATATTTACGAATTCCAATTGCGCACGACATCATTGCGAGAGGAAACACTTGCGGTTTAGTGTGCAATTAGTAAAGTCTCCGTGAAACCACTATTGGATTTACGCCATAACACAACTGGCATCAAAATTATATAAAATACCCAATCGATAAGTGCAATTTTATATTAAGCTACCCTTCATTATTCGCGTTACATCGGATATAAATAAACGAGCAACTTTGCACGGTGGATCCGGTCTAACGATTAACTTATCTATTTAATAATCTTATACGATGAACAACTAACGTGTGCATACATACAACTGGTTGACACGTAGTGACTATATGTGTACACGTGAACTAAACGATAAATATATATTTCTGTATAACACACACATACACACATACACACACACGTGTGTTTCTTAAATAGCGCTCACTGATCAGAAGATTTGTGCTCCAACATGCTCCAACATGCTCCAACATACTCTTATCATAGTTCCTAGCTCCTACTCACTCCAATTCGTTCATCAGAGTAAGTAGGAGCTATGATACATATGTTGGAGCACGCATATTGGAAACATGCGGCACGCACAAATCTATATTATGATATATATAACGCTAGTCCTCTAATCAGAAATTGAATAGAAAAGTTCCGAGCTATTTTTTCTACAATGCTCAACGAAGCAATTATTACCGAGTAAAGATAATCCAATCGGCGTCGGCTTTTAGTTGGGCACACGTAAGTGAGCCACGGCATGCTTAGTAATGTGCGGAAGGGCATACATTATCGAGAGAGCGCGGCTCACTGATGTGTGCCCATTCAAAGAACGGCGGTGATTGGACTATCTTTACTTTTACGATTGGATTAACTTTATATTTAGTAATAACTGTATCATCGAGCGTTGTAAAAAAATGGTAGAAAAAAAATGGCTCAGAACTTTTCCATTAAACTTTTTATTAGGAGTAGCGCTGTACAATTATTGGGTGCTGTTTAAGAAACACTATATAGTATATATATATATATATATACACACTCTTATATAAATAAAAAAAAAAATATATATATATATGCGTGTTTTTTTAAAGATAAAGATGTATCATTTTAATTGTTTTTCACTGACGCATAATAATAATAATAAAAGTATAGTTAGTAATGATAGAGTAAATTGGAAAATAATCATCCTTTTGTGCTTTATTCAAATGGGACACGTGATATAATTACATTGATGAAAAAATATCGTTTAAGAATCATATCGGCAAGAATTTCGGAAAAGTTGAGTTACAATTAGCGCATGATCGACGTGAAATTCGGGACGAGTCGGATCGGAATTCGCGGTCCATTCCCCGCTCGATCGTTTCGCGGTCATTTGTGGTCATTTGCACGTCCGGATAGGATGTCTATCGATTTCTCGCGAACGCGAGATCCCCTCGAAACCCACGTAGAAGGATTCGCAGCGCCAAGGCTTATTTGAATCGAGCGACGTAGCCTCGAACCGGACATCTCGCTCGGGCCACGAACTCTCGAACCCCTCGTCCTCCGCGAGTTTTAATTTTATTTATACCCGGAGTAATCGCGTTACATGTGAAATCCCTTCGGAAAGTCGCGGAACATCGTGGGCCACGATAAAATCGCGACTCGTTGGCGGTTCCACTGAAATACGGGTGATGACGAGATCGGCCAATCAGGAATTTATCGGATTTCAAAGCCGCGCCATCTTCATTTTTGAACAAAGCCAGGTTGGACGTGCTAGAGGCGAGCCGGGATCTGGTAGTAGTTCGCTTTGCGCTATTCGCGCCACAGTCGTCGGCACACACTCCACTCCTGACTGGTTCGACCTCTCCCCCGCC